CGGGAGTTCGGGCCCTGGCCCCTCAGAGGCTTCTCGGGACTGAGGACTGGGGCTCCAGGGGTTCTCGGGAAGGGAACAAAAACGCGCAGGCACAAGTAGTCGTCGACTCCCAGGAAACTGTAGGAAGGCATGGGAAGCGGGGGGGAAGACGAAAACCCGGAAAATGCGGGGAAACGTTGGGGATCCTGGGATTCGCGCGCATTTATTCGCGTGTCCCTGGACTCCGTGAGCTCAGGCAGGGTGCCCGAGGGCGCGCCCGCTCCGTGCCCAGAGGCGCGGTGGCGGACATCTACACGCTGTTCATTTCTCATTATTCGAGAGTTCTTTGATTTTTTGGGGGGGCCAAGATCCTCACTTTCATTTCGAATTGTTCTATCCTGGGCCTCTTTCTGACCACTAGGGGGCCAGGAACAACTGGGAACGAGCGCACTTAGAAATGAGCACGGTCAGAAACGAACGACGCGCATCCATGTTCTGACGACCAATCAAGAGTGCGATCGGTCAACAGCTGAGGAACTGTTCTGCGTGAACTGTCGGCGTCTCCCATCGGGGGCACGAGCGCGGGAGGGGCGCCCTATGGGGCCACGGAACGTTGTACTGGGTGGGTGGAGCGCAGGGAGGAGGGGGAGGAGGGCCACGAAACGCTGTACTGGGTGTGCGGGACGCATGCGGACGGTAGCACTGGGACCTTCGGTGGAGCTCTCTGTGGGGCCACGAACCGCTGTACTGGGTGTGCGGGACGCATGCGGACGGTAGCACTGGGACCTTCGGTGGGGCTCCTTTTCCGATTGCCGGTGACGTCGAGGTGAACGGATATAGAACAAGCGATGGTTTCTCGTTCGGCAAGGCACCAATCGAATTTGGGCCGACAAAATTGGCAATGACATCGCGAGGGCACGGCGCAACAGAAAACACAGGTTTCAAGCGGTGATTCCAACGCGAGCGGACAGAACGGCTCTTACAAGTAAGGTCCGAATACTTGGACCGCGCGTCACTCGTGCCATAAACGCGTTTTTTACAACAACAAAAAAGAGAGAGAGAGAGAGAGAGAAAAAACAAAAAAAAAGAAGGGACGCAAACGACGCCAGCGCATCTCGAGCATTCCTGGCTTGCCCTGACTCCGTTGTGTAGCGCGTTCCAGCGCGTGCAAGACTGCGTGGAGCGATTGCCGCTGAGCGCGCAAATCCTGGCCTGGAAACGCCAACTTCGAGGGCGCGACAGAGCGACATAATAATAATGTGTGTCCATTTGTATGGTAACTTCACGAGAACAACAATGTCTTCCATGCACGAACGTCATGTTCAAGAACCCCCCATTATCGAAAATCAGCAGCATTACAATTCAACTCGCGAAGGTAAGCGTGGGAATCAGAAGTGCCCCATTGCGAGTGCGCACCAGGTTTGACGGAGCGACGCGCGAGGGCACCCATCTTATCATCAATCCGCGTCATCACGTGCCCCTGTGACCACGCGCACGGACCGCCATCGTAGGATTGTCGAGTGGATTACAAATGAATGATCTCCGGCCATTGCATACGCATGGGGAATCACAGGGTTGCAACCGATTGGCCCACCGTTGGAATTGGCAAGAAAACTGTTCTAGGAGACAGTGAGAAAGGAAAACGAACGTGAACAGCAAAGGCATGCTTACTAGAAATACAAGGAGCGCGCGTGCTACGGAAGAACTTCACGCACGCAACACCCAGGCAGATGAGGCAAATTGACAACAACAAGCGTTTTGATGCGTGCGTTTCGCGCCTCCCCCAAAGCTTGACACATGCTGTGAGGCAGCGGAAGGATTGGACCAGACGAGATTATTCCCAGCGCGCTCGGCAAGCACGTCAACAACCACATGTTGTGTTTTTCCATCAACGACTTAAGACAGTCTCGGTTGTCCTTACTTTTGTGCCTCAGGTCCCATGGACTACGCGCGAGTGCGGGCATATGAGACTGTTTGGACTGAAGCGAATTAGCCGTTGAAGTGTCGCGCGCAGCAAGTGCATCATCGGCAGCGCAAATGTGGAGATGAGAACAAGGAGGGGCTCGGCACTGATTGCGAGGGAACGTACTGCGAGCGTTAGGACCCTCGCCTCGGATTGCAACAGAAGTGCGGTATTGCTGGCGACAGCCATGTTTCACGTACTTGCGAACGCACGGGTTCAGCCGAGAACGCAATACATTCGCTATATGTTTTTCGATTAACCGCAACTCCACCTCCTAACCAGACGACACAACCGCGAGAGTCATCTGGACTGAATAAGCTGGCACCTAGAGGCCGCATTTTGTAGCGCGCAAGAATTTGGAAATCCGCCTGGCACGAAAACAACGAGGAGTAGTGTCCATTGACGACTCATGGAGACCCACGCGTAATTCTTGTTATTCGAACCATGGTGCACAATCCGATCACATTGAATAGATGCGCGCGCATGACGGAGCACGTCCAACAGTTTTTGGATGCGATCGAAATTTCGAGACGCCCATCCATCTCACAGCAGCGATCGCCCGGATGTGGTTCAAGACGTGAGCAGCTCAAGTCAACCATGCCTTATCATGAAATTTCGCGCTCTGCGCGCAGTAATGTTGTTCGAACAAACATGGAGGAGGGAAGAAGCCATGCGCATGACATCTTAGAAAGCGCTGCACTTCACACGAGGGTCTTTCTCGCCAGCCTCAATGTTGCACGCGCGCTTCCACGCGTAACGAATGGCAGCAACGTTGGCAGGCCTGTCGAAGGTGGGGCGGGCAACGACTTTCGCTGCGTCGCCCACTGGTCCTCGTTGAATTCGTCGCGGCGTTCGCGCAGCCACTTCCGAACGGAGAAATGACCGCAGCAGCAAGGCAGGGACGAGGAGGAAATACATACCATGTCTTTGCATGCAAGCCTAAAGACGTTGGGAAGTGCGGCGATATGAAGCAGTTGGAATCGCTGGGTTGCCAGAAGCGCCGTTGAACTCGGAACAGCCATCCTTTCGATGATAAGTCCGCGCGGGAAGCACAGATCTTATCTCTGTCAGACGGAGCAGCAGACAAGTCGTCCGTGTCCTTGCGAATCTCTTTCCTGGCGCGAGGGTTGGGCGTGCCAGTGTCGAAGTGCACAGATGCTCCCAGCGAGTCGAGTTTGCCAATCTCCTCGCAAGAGAGAGCTCAGCATCGAATCCGTCATCCCATTGAATTGCGGAGATGGCCTGCAGATTCGGAGTGATGCCCGCGACTTTGCCGTCACGATCAAGGTCACTGTCGCGCACAGCCAGACCGACCAAGTCCTTGGGAAGCGTCTGTCGCGCTGGTTCCGCCTCTAGACACGATTGGCACCGAAGTCTGACGCGAACAGATTCCTGCGCACAGCCGGCTGCGCACCGGAAGCAGGAGATGGCGACGCATGGTGGCGATCACGCCGAGCAGAGTTTGCCGTGCGTTTGCGTTCCATGAACGAGGAGATGGACTCGCCCATTGGGCTGCCGATTTCTGGTGGTTGTATTCGCGCCCGTGATAAAGCGGTCGCAATCTTCATCAGATGTGGCCATGGGGATAAGTCGTGAGATCTCTTTTACCCTGTCGAAAGTAATGTTCCAATATTCGCTGGCTGCGGTGAAGACGGGCACGCCATTCCTTTTTTCATGACATTTTTCCTGCCAGTAATGCTGTCAGCAGTGGCCGCCTGCTCGAAGTTCGAGGGAGCATCTGGGTAAAGCGGCAAGTGCTAGCCATGACCGTCCTCGCTGACATCTCTCAGGTCCACGACGTGGCCCTCGAAGATGCGCATCGCTCCTGGTCTGGGCCCCCGCGGTGCAGGCGGCGCTGACATCGGGGGGAGCGAACAGGTTGGCATTTGCGTGCCACGGCCGAAGCCACCCTGATACGATGGAGGGCGCGGGGCGAACGGGTTTTGCGGATCCATGATGCGCGCTTGGCAAGCACAGACCACATAATAACTGAGACACGTAGGGACACACGTACGCGTTTCATTCGAAGCGTGCGTGTGTGTGTAGATCGGGATCAGAAATCAGTACGACCAGATCGCTAGCTCGGAGCAATTCGGTGGATATTATAAGCTGTAGCTGCGGATCGTCGCACAATCAAAGTGCAATGACGATGCGACGACGCCATAATTTCTGCACGCTTTTTTTTATGGCAGCACGGTACGACGCCGCCAGATTCACCGCCTCGCCATCCCTTATTCATCGTACTTCATGGTAGCACGATGATCGTATTATGCAAGTCCGTGGGGGGTAAGATCAACATCGGCGCTGGTATATTTGAGGTTGGCAACCACCCTGATTCGGCCACTCCCGATGAGATCTGGCTAATCCCGCTCAGTCCGGCTTGATCCTGGGCCCGATTTGGGCTCGTCCCGCGTTGATCCAGGCCTCGGAAAAATGAGCGAAATGTCATGCCAGATCCATCTGTCAATGCCTTTCCTTCCCCAGTGAAACAAGTCGGCGGTGGCCCTGATGAGTTGCGCTTCGACCGCAGTCTTCCACGCGCGTGCCCAACAAATCTCAATTGTTGGGGAATGGGAGTGTCCATTGCTCGTTTTCCTTCCCTGTCGTTCCGACGAAAACTTCCTTGAGGTCTGGGGAGGGCCTGTGGGGGTGGGAGCGTGATTTTTTCAATGCGGAGCACCAGGAGGTCTCGACCCATTCCCCAGGACCGCTTTTTCATCCCGAGTCGTCTTTTGACAGCCCCAGGGCCTGGCGAGGGCTCCTCGAGGCCGAAAATTGCGAAAAACCTGCGTCTTGATTTTTTCAATGCGTTGGATCTTTGGGTCCGCCCGCTCCCAGCCGGCCCCCCGCGCGCGGGGCCAGGCCCGCTCGCTGTGCTCCTTCCGGCTGTGCGGCTGGAGTCGGCAGAAGGCGAGGAGGAGGAGGACGAGGAGGAGGAGGAGGTGGAGGAGGAGCAGGAGGAGAAGGAAGAGGAGGACGTGGAGGAGGAGGGGGAGGGCCTGTGTGCGGCTGGGAGGTCCGCCCGCTCCCGACCGGCCCCCCGTGCGCGCGGGGCCAGGCCCGCTCGCTGGGCTCCTTCCGGCTGTGCGGCTGGAGCCGGCAGAAGGCGCCCGTGGGGCGTCCGGGGGTCCCGGCCACTCCAGCGCCCTGGGAAGCGGGCGTCGGGTGATGGGCCTGTTTTCCACCACCACCACCACCACAAGTTGGAGGGGGAGGGGGTCCTCCCCCTCCTCCTCCTCCTCCTCCTCCTCCTCCTCCCTCCTCCCTCCTCATCCTCCTCTCCTCCTCCTCCTCCTCCTCCTCCTCCTCCTCCTCTTCCGTCTCCTCTTCCTCCTCCTCCTCCTCCAACACCTCCACCTCCTCTTCCTCCACCTCCTCCTCCTCCTCCTCCTCGTCCTCCTCCTCTCTGCCCTCCTCCTCCTTCCCCCCTCCAACCTGTGGTGGTGGTGGTGGAAAACAGGCTCATAATCGGGGGCCCCCCAGGCGGTGCGGTGACCACACCGTGTGGTGAGTCAGTGGGGATCCGGGGTGACGGCACGGTTCTGGGGCGTGGTCTTTTTTCCTCCATGGACGTCGAAAACCGTCTGGGGCATCGCGGGGTGCCAGGAGAGGGCGGCGACGGGCCGTGCGGTGAGGGTCCGGGGTCTTCGGGGCGACCGCGCGATCCGTCACAGCACCTTTGAGGTCCCCATGTGGGTCCAGCGAGGGCAAGCTGAGACATACGGTCAGGAACGTTTGCCTGCTGCGTCGCGCCGCCGATTCCGGCCCACCACGCTTCGGCGCGGCACGCTGAGCACGTCCGGGTCAGCGAAAGTATCCATGTTCCGGGGGCGGAAAAGAGGGGGGTGATGACTAGGGGGGGTGGATATCATGGCGCGGGTCATGATATCTCCCCAGATTTCGTGGCGCCTCTTCTTGTTTTATTACGTCCCTGGCCCCCTCGCTGGGCCGCGCACATGCCGCCGGTCATGATTTGCACCCCCCCCTCTTGGACACCCCCCTCTGTCTGGACGCCCGAAATGGGTACTGAAAGAATGGGTACTATGCCCAACAGCGGATCTTGTTCATTTTGAACAAGATCCGCTGTCCACGCCGCCGCGGCCTGTGTCCTTTCGAGACAGAAGGCCGCCCGCCCAACAGCGGCCGCTGTTGGTTTGGGACAACATTTGCTGTTGGGCATAGTACCCATTTTTCGGTACCCATTTCGGGCGTCCAAACTCTTTGCCGCCCCCGAATGTTCCCAGCCCCGCGTCCCAGGGAGCGGAGCGACACGCTGCCAGCTTGCGGGGCGTTGCGTGTCGCCCGGGGCCGCCGCCGCGGCTCGCGGAGCAAAAAGTGCCTGGCTGTAGCAGATCGGATGCACAAGTGGCACGTCGCCGATTCGAGAGCAGTCGGGGGAGAAAAAGATACGGATACGTGTTGTCCCCCTTCGTTTTCGGCCTTTCCTGGTCCTCCTGGGGAATCCTCGTTGTCACCGCTGGATTCGCCTCGAAATTCTGGTCAGAACGCACCCCAAGAGAGGTCCAGGGACAACACGTATCCGTATCTTTCCGCCCCCCAAAGCAGGTTATTGTTTGCACACCTGGCGAGGCCTACAGGTTCTAGGCGGCCCGCCCCCCAAAGCAGTCGATTTTTTCAGTCGGACTGACGTGCAAGGAGGCGAGAGCGGCATGCGTGTCAGCCCACCTTCGTAAGCTCACTGCCAATACAGTATTGTTTGACGCACCCATCATCGAAACTTTGTTTGACATCGTAGCTGTTAAGGTAGGGTTACTATTCCATTCGCCAGCATGCACTGCGTCGGGAAGTGGGTCTTCAGTTACGCTTCTGCTTTGCAAGAGACGAGCCCGATTTTTTTAGAATGGAGCACAGGATGCGGAAGATAAGAGGGAAGATGATGAGGAGAAAGAGGAGGGGAGCAGACGGAGGAGGAAGCCAGAGACGAGGATTATGAGGAACATCGGGCGGGGATGACAGGGATGACCAGCGAGGAGGAGGAGGTCGGGGAAGACGCCACGGACGAGGAGGAGGAGGCAGAGGCAAACAATGAGGACAGTGCGAAGGTGTTTCTGCGGTAAGACGTGCTGGAGGGTACTGGAGAGGGACCCAGAGGGTGTCGCCTGTGCGACCTCCAGCACTCTTTCTCAACTCTCACGCTATTGTTGTCGCTTCGGCCATTCGCGCTGGAAAACGCCAGAACGCGCCTCACGAGGCTGAGTGAAATGGGTGTAGGAAGAGGAAGAGGAGGAGGAGGAGGAGGAGGAGGAGGAGGAGGAGGAGGAGGAGGAGGAGGAGGAGGAGGAGGAGGAGGAGAGGAGAAGGAGAAGGAGAAGGAGAAGGAGAAGGATGAAGTGGAGGGATCAAAAGATCAAAAGAAGTTGCCCCCCCCCCTCAGGCGAACTCGTTTGCCTCTTTGGCCTGGAACAGGCAGCTTGAAGCCCGACCACAACATGAGTGGAGTTGCGGCGGGTCTGATTAGGATGCGCTCAGTGGATCTCTGTTCTGAAGGGAGCTGTGGGATGCGATTTCGCTTGTTCGGAATATGATTTCCGCTCCGCTTTTCGCGTTGATCCGTTTTATACCACGCTCCTCATTGTGACGATACTAAGTGAACGTGGGGGACCGACTCGAAATCGTGTCCAATGCTTCAGGCCCCGCCCGCGTCGCGTCAAGATTCTTTGGGGGCGGGAGCATCGTACGGAGTGTCGCGGCTCGCGCTCCAAGGGGGTCATCTTCCGTCGCGTTTGCACGGCCGGTACTTTTGGGATTGTGTGTCGTCCCGCTGGCTCTTGCCCACCACGCTTCGGTGCGACACGCTCTACGCTCTGCACTTCCTGGCCGCCCGGCGCCAACGTCCCGAGCTTTTCCCAGCCTCCCCCCCGCGGAGCGGAGCGACACGCTATCCGCTTGCCGGTGGTAGCGTGTTGCCGGGGCCACCGCCTCGAGGTGCTGAGCAGAAGTCCCCGACCGCAGCGGTGGAGGCGCAGGAGCAGCAGCAGCAGCAGCAGCAGCAGCAGCAGCAGCAGCAGCAGCAGCAGCCGAGGCATGCGGGTCAGCGGCCCGAGGGCGAAAACGGCAGCGATCGCCGGGAGTGGCCGCTGGCCCCGCGTGGCGCGGGTCGCCTGGGCGCCAGCGCCCGATTTGCCTTCCCCCCCCCTCGGGGTTTGCGTTTTATCCCCCCCTCGGTTGACGGACAAAACGTTCTGCACCGCCCGCGCGACCAGCGTGCCGGCGCGAGCTTCAACGCGCCTCCCCTGCCCCCGATCCAGTGTTGGTTGGCAACATCAGCGGGGTGCAGGATTTTCGGCCACTCGACAGGTGGACACAGCGGGTCGCAGACCGCCCAGATTGAATCGGGGGCGCGGAGGGCGTTCACGAAGATCAGCACAAGGGGTGCAGGATTTGGTCCATCAAGCGCTCCCCTCATCTCCGTGTCTCCTGTTCCTCCTCCGAGGAAGGGGGAAGGGGAGGATGATCACGATGAGACCACGTCAGAAGCAGGAGCAACGCGAAATGGAGGAGAGCAGGAGCAGCAGGAGGAGGAGCATCTGCAGACGAGGCATGCGGAGCAGCAGCACGGGCGCGAAGACGGCAGCGACCGCTTCCTCGCGCGCTGCGCTGGCTCTCCCGACAAGTCCTCCACAACCCCTCCTTCACCTCGTCGCCTTCCGCATCCCCCCCCCCTGCCGCCAGCGCCGGCCCTCTCTCTCGACTCGCAAGGGCCGAAGACGAGCGCTGGGAAGGGTCGATGGGGGAGGGGGCCCGGGGGGGGGGAGCGAACTCAGGGAGGGCGGCGCGAGCCACCGATGGGGCGGGGAAGGGCGGAGAAAGCCGGGGAGGGAGAGCGGGGAGGGAGAGCGAGGAGGGAAGTGGGGGGGCCAGGTGGGAGGGTCAAGGAATACCGAGCAGAGAGGAGCAGAGGCGGGGGCCGCCCGCCCCTCGCGCGCGACTGGAATCCAGGATGGCAAGGCCGCGCGCCCACACGGCGCAGGACGCGAACGCGCGCTGCGACTCACGCACCAGGCCCTTGGCCTCTCAGGGAGATGGCCCATCTGAGCGGCGCCGGAGGCTTGCCCTATCCATCGGGCGGAACACGCGAGGAGGCCGCCGACGCTCGGAGGGAGCGCGCCATGCCGGCATGCCGCAAGAGGCCGCAAGAGGCCGCAAGAAGACGAGAACGTGCCCGGGGAGGGCGTTTGGTGGGAGCGTCGGAGGAGGAGGAGGAGACGGGCGAGGTTGGTAGCGGTGATACCACTACCAACCTCGCCCGGTGCATCCGCACGATTTGCGACGCGGAAAACTCGAAAGCGAAAGCTACGCACGGGGTAAGACCGAATGCATGCCCAACCTCCCCCCGCATCGCCCCAATAGACTCTGGGTTGCAAGTTCCAAACACTTATTATTGCTGCTGCTCTGCTGGTAGTTGTACGCACTGCTGGTCATGTTCCGTTGGGGTGGCCACGAGTGATCTCATGTTGTCGGTTTCCAAGGCTGCCTGGTCACTTTGATCATGTGTTGGTTGCGTAGCGCCCTGAGTCGTATCTTACGTGGGTATTGGCCTCACCGGCTGCATGAAGGTCACGGCCCTTCGGTGTCGTTGGGGATCTCGGTGGACTGCGCCTGTTCGATTTGGTCAATCATCTCCACTTGGGACATGCGTTGTTGTGCCCGTGCGGCCGCGTTCTGCGCGTAGACGTATTCCTGGGTGGCCTCCTCGGTGCGCTTCTGATGATGATGATGATGATGAGAAAGAGCGTGTTCTACCGCTGCTGGCGGAAAACCGGGGGGGGTCACTACCGGTTCGAACCCCTCCCCCCCCCCCCCTCCGGAAAACCGGGGGGGGTCACTACCGGTTCGAACCCCTCCCCCCCCCCCCCAGCTCATCATGAAAAGGGGGGGGGTCACTACCGGTTCGAACCCCCCCCCCCCCCCCTCGAAAACCGAGTGGGGGTGCGGACAGAGGTGGGGACGGTGTTGGTGGGACAGTGGTGAGGGGACAGCGGGACAGTGGTGGGGACAGTGGGACAGTGGGACAGTAGAGGGCCGGTAGTGGTGGGGACAGTGGTGGGGACAATGGTGGGAACAGGGGGGACAGTGGACAGTGGT